ATTCAGTGTACAAGGAATGCATCCTATGTAGTCTAACTGGACCTCACATTAGAAGGGCCATCTGCTTGAGTTAATGTTCTGCTGTCACAGTCTTGAAATCTTAATAATGTCCTTACCAGGACATGTGTGCACTTTTCCATACAGTAAATATATTTTAACTTCTATAAAATTTACATTTTAAAAAGTAGTCTTGCCAAAAGATTACTATGACAAGAAATAATTGTAGAATTTTAGAGATGTTTCAAGGAGTACACGGAACATGGGTTTACATACTTCATTAAATGGCTTATAGACCGATACAGAAAAATTAGGTCCACAGTTTAAACCAGTGTCTTCTCTTTTTTATTTTATGTTTTTGCCATAGGGTGTGTGCACTTTCTAGAGAGAGAGACAGACAGTGAGAGGGAAAGTGAGAAATCACCCCACTGTGGGGGACCACACCACAATCCCTTCTCCTCCTTTCTCCTGGGATTTTGGGCATGCACACACACTCACCGGGTATAATTTTAAAGCCACTGGCTCTGGGACTTGAACCACACGCAGTTAACCATGTGAGCATCCAGAACCTTAACCAATACACCATCTCTGGCCCCAGTCTTTGAGTTTTGTAAGCCTTTAAATTACAGCTTTGATAAATGAAGTTGACCTTCTCTGGCCTGCATAAGATGATATTTTTTTCTTTTTTTTTTTTAAATGTACATAATAGTTTTTATTGTATAGGAAACTGAAATTAAGCATATGATCGGAAAGAGAGAGAGGAAGTGAGAAATCACTCCCATGGGGCATGTTCATACTACAATCTCACCTCCTCTACCTCTCCCTGCTTTGGGGATTTGGAGCATGCATGCACATGAGCCAACTTGTTTTTCAAGCTGCAAGGTATGGATCTCAAACTGCCCAGTCAGCCACGTGGGATCCAGCTACCATAAGTGCTGTGCCACTGAGAAGCATATGTATGTGTATATATGTATTTATGTGTACATATGTATATATATGTGTGTGTGTATTAGATTTTTGCTATAGGGCATGTATACTTGCTGGAGAGACAGACACAGAGAGAGACAGTGAGAGGTAAAGTGAGAAATCACCCCCCCAGGGGGATGGCCATACCTTAGTCCTTTTTCCTCCATTCTCCTCCTGGGATTTTGGGCACACATACCCAGTGTGATTTTCAAGCCACCAGTTCTGGGATTCAAACCACAGTCAGCCATTTGGTAACCCCGTGTCTTAACCACTGAGCCACCTGCTGGCCCCATTATATTTCTTTTAATTTCTATTTTTATTTTGTTTCAGTCATTTTATTTTCTGGATACAAATATCTTTAAATTCAGTAAAAGTTGTTTTTGTTTTGTTTTGTTTTGTTTTGTTTTTTTTAATGGCTAAGTGTTCCATTTAATCTGGACTAGTGCTTAAGAAGCCATGTGGGACTTGAGTACCATCCATTCTACCATTTTCTCGGTGCTAGGAACTCACTATTCCTTTTTTGAATTTGCAAAGAAATAATATCTCTTCAATTTTCCTATGTCCGCTTTTGTAAAAACACCTCTCTTTCTTTACTTTTTAACTTTACTGATATTTTTGTTCCTATACAGATCTTAATCAAGACCAACTAAATACGACTTTCTTCTACCAGCCAGGCTGATTTCCACCTATTAGGAAGAACTTAAAAATATTGACACTGGGGGTTGGCAGCTGGCATAGTGGTTAAAGGTGCTGGATTCCCACATGGTCAACCATGGTTCGAGTCCCAGACCTGGCAGCTTGCTTTCTCCCTTTCCATCTCTCTCTGTCTCTCTCTGGTCAAATTACAAAATAATAATAACAAATAGGGTTAAATAAATAAACAATTTTAGAAAATATTGACACGGATACTGGAGACAATATGAGGAGAGGGTGGGAGAGCAAGAGGAAAGGAATCAAGAAGAAAACTAGGAAGGCAAGACATTTAAGGGACACAGAAATGGAGTATTGTCTGTTGATGATAATGTGTATGATATCTTCAACTGGACTGGTGGAAGTTTATTCATCTTGGATAAATTCATTTTATAAGCTGTATTGATGTACAGTGATTGAATGTATAAAATAAATTTTAAAAAATTTTAAATATTGGTGCTATTATGAATATAAATATTTGCTTTAAGAGACTCTAAGGTTATAAATAAGTAGTATTCCAGGGTCTTTGAAATTGGGATACAATATAAGGTTCATGTAGCTACTAATTTAGGAAATGTTTTAATACTCAGTGGGCAGATGGGGCCAGAAAGTGATAGGGTGGTAAAACTCTGTAAGAAAGACCCACTTGGGAAGGTGCCAGTTCATGTCCAGAGTCCTCCCCAAGTACACAAAGTACCCTCATGCCCATAACCTGGGTTTGCAAAAACTATTAGGTAAATCGTGGCATAAGAGCAGTTTAGGGTGCTTGTCTCTATCTGTTTCTCCATCTCTCTATCGCTCATGGAACAAATAAATAAACTTTTTTACAAAAAAAGATTCAGTAAGCATTGAAAACAGTTGCTTCTAGAATTACAAACAGAGATGCTTTGAAATCAAGGTACTGCTATGTAATTCCTCCACTTCTTGAAAAGACAATCCTAGGAGCTCCAAACTGAGTGAGAGCAGACATTTTATTTCTTCAGTAATACTGGATATTGATGACTTCCCCAAGCAAGAGCTGGGAAAGCCCACTAGCTAATAACTAAATAAGTGGGGTTTTGTCCATAGTATGTAATGAAATCTGGACGCACGGAACAGCTGGAGTTGAATGGCACTGGAAAAGATTCCACAAAGGAGGTAGGACTTAAGCTTTAGAGCATTACTTAGCAGAATCTGCAGAGTAAGCACAGCACACACGTAGGGAGCAGGGTCTAGATGCCTTGAGATGGCTAAACCATGTTGTGAAGGCATACTTTGTAGGTCAGAGAGTATGTAGGTAAATTGGGGATGGAGTGAAGTAGACTAGAGAGAGCAGGTATACATTTTACAGAGCCTTGGAAGCTAGTCAGGAGAAGTTAGATCTAATGTAGGAATACACAGCTGCTGTATCTGTGCTTAGGTTCTCTGCCCTTCCCTTTCCCGAACACATTGACACAAAGATCTTGAGGAACCGACTGCTTAGAATTAATTTTTTTTTTTGAGAGGTTTTCTCTATAGGGCGTGTGCACTCGCCAGACAGACAGAGAGAGACATAGAGACAGAAAGCGAGAAATCACCCCCCAGGGGGGATGGCCACGCAGCAATCCCTTCTCCTCCATTCTCCTCTCGGGATCTTGGGCACGCACGAACACGCGCCCGGCATGAGTTCTAAGCCACCAGGTCTGGGACATGAACCACGGTCGACTCCGTGGGAGTCCAGCGACATAGCCATTATGTTAACTGCTGGTCCCCCCCTACCCCGCCCCCTCGACTAGTTAGAATTAATTTGAGCTAGCTCAGTCTGTCTTTAGGTGAAGTACTTTGCTGATACATGCTACATACATAATTTCTTTTTGTTTTGTTTTGCTAAGGGCATGTGTACTTGCTGGAGAAAAATAGAGAGAAAGTGAGTGGAAAATAGAAATCACCCCCCAGGAGATGGCTCTGCCACAATGCTTTCACTCCTTCTCTGTTTCCCTTTCAGGCTTGTGGGCACACTCACACATGTACCCAGTGTGTTTTTCAAGCCGCCAGATCCAGGACTCAAACCACAAAGTCTGTCATGTGAGATGTAGCCACCTTAACCACCACACCACTGGCTGGCCCCACTACATACATAGTTTCTATGTGTGTCTTGAATATGAATTTACGAGTTCCAGCATTTGATTATCGCACCCTAAAATATATGGATCCACTTAGATCTACTGAGATTCAGTGTACAAGGAATGCATCCTATGTAGTCTAACTGGACCTCACATTAGAAGGGCCATCTGCTTGAGTTAATGTTCTGCTGTCACAGTCTTGAAATCTTAATAATGTCCTTACCAGGACATGTGTGCACTTTTCCATACAGTAAATATATTTTAACTTCTATAAAATTTACATTTTAAAAAGTAGTCTTGCCAAAAGATTACTATGACAAGAAATAATTGTAGAATTTTAGAGATGTTTCAAGGAGTACACGGAACATGGGTTTACATACTTCATTAAATGGCTTATAGACCGATACAGAAAAATTAGGTCCACAGTTTAAACCAGTGTCTTCTCTTTTTTATTTTATGTTTTTGCCATAGGGTGTGTGCACTTTCTAGAGAGAGAGACAGACAGTGAGAGGGAAAGTGAGAAATCACCCCACCGTGGAGGACCACACAACAATCCCTTCTCCTCCTTTCTCCTGGGATTTTGGGCATGCACACACACTCACCTGGTATAATTTTCAAGCCACTGGCTCTGGGACTTGAACCACACGCAGTTAACCATGTGAGCATCCAGAACCTTAACCAATACACCATCTCTGGCCCCAGTCTTTGAGTTTTGTAAGCCTTTAAATTACAGCTTTGATAAATGAAGTTGACCTTCTCTGGCCTGCATAAGATGATATTTTTTTCTTTTTTTTTTTTAAATGTACATAATAGTTTTTATTGTATAGGAAACTGAAATTAAGCATATGATCACTTTGCAATGAGAGATTGAACCCATTCCCAGTAAGAAGTATATACCCAAAGATTGTTGTATATTCTTTTTTTTTAAGAATTATTTTCTTTAACTTTCCTTATTATTATTATTCATTTTAATTTGACCAGAGAAAGACAGAGAGAGAAAGTGAGAAAGCAAGCTGCCAGGTCTAGGACTCCAACCACCGCCAGCCACGTGGGAATCCAGCATCTTAAAACACAATACCACCTGCCAGCCCTATTGCATATCCTCTTATTTGATCCCTTTATGAAGGAAATAGCTAAGTAGATATGTTTGAAGACTACATCTATAGTTGTAATTTTATCCTTTGCCAGTACTGTTTTTTTCAAGTTTTGCTTTCATTTGGTCTAAAAGACTATTCTGTTTGTTTACCCTATATATTGTTCTTTTAGGTGACTATGAAGGGCTTATATTTTCAACAGAACTCCACAAATGAAGAAATAACATTTGTATTTCAAGAAAGGGTAAGAAAAATTGTTTGTTCATTTATTGAAAACAGGTAGTATATTTACCATATGTAATAAACTTACCTTTTTAAATAATTATTTAATTTTATTTATTATCATTATTTTTAAATTAGCTATAGGGTATGTGTACTCACCAGAGAGAGAGAGAGAGAGAGAGAGAGAATCGCCAGGTCTAGGACTCAAACCTCCATCGGCCCCTGGGAGAGTCCAGCACCTTAACCAGCATGCCATCTGCTGGTCCCTATACCCACTTTTAAATGACCTGGTGTAAGTTATTTTGAGAGGAACTAAATGAACAAAAATTACCTCAACAAACATTTTCAAATTATATTCTTTTAATCTTTATGTGAAAATAGTAGTACATGTTGTAGTATGTTTTTAAAAGAATTACTATAAAATAGTTTTTAGTTTTTCAGGGTTGTGATATAAAAGTATTAGGAAAAAACAGAATAACCTTGATTATCTTCTTTTTAAAAAAATAGTTGTTTTAACTTTATTTATTATTATTATTTTTTTTTTTCCAGTTTGATCAGAGAGAGAGAGAAAATGAGAAAGCAAGTCACCAGGTCTGGGGCTTGAACCTCAGTTGGCCATGTTGGAGTCCAGCGCCTTTAACCACCATGCCACCTCCCAGCCCCCAACCTTGATTATCTTATATGCTGCAAAGTTTACCAAGTTTATTCTGAATACCATGATAAAATGCGTTTTCATATTGTGATCATATTTCAAAAATACTTTTGACTCATATTGTGAAATGGACAAGATAGAAAAGCATTATTTTCCATACAAATTTTGGAACTTGGCAAAGTTACTCATTTCACTAAGCTTAAATGAGCTCTAGTATTTTATGACTCTAAGTGTAGATAGTAGAATTCTAATATATTGGTGATTATGAGAAAGGTTTGTGACAAGCTAAAATTATTCCACTATAAATTGAGGGATGAAAAATGTGTGCTATCTATATATATCATGATATAATAGGACTGTGAAACAGTAAGAACTTCTGGAACATGAGCATAATCTCTAGTCTTTTGAACTCCAAAATAATTTACATCAAGAGTCTAAATCTTGGGACCAGCAGTTAGCATAATGGCTATATCACTGGAGTCCCACGTAGTCAACTGCGGTTCATGTCCCGGACCCGGTGGCTTAAAACCCATGCCAGGCACATGTGCATGCGTGCCCAAGATCCTGAGAGGAGAATGGAGGAGAAGGGATTACGGCGTGGCCATCCCTCCTGGGGGGTGATTTCTCACTTTCTGTTTCTCTGTCTCTGTCTGTCTGGCGAGCGCACATGCCCTGTAGCAAAAACCTCTAAAAAACAAACAAACAAAAAAAGAGTCTAAATTTTGGGACCAGCAGTGGGCGTAATGGCTATGTCTCTGAGCTCCCATGTAGTCGACCACAGTTCGAGTCCTGGACCCAGTGGCTTAAACTCACACCAGGCGCGTGTGCGTGTGTGCCCAAGATCCGGAGAGGAGAATGGAGGAGAAGGGATTGCGAAGTGGCCATCCCCCCTGGGGGGTGATTTCCTGCTTTCTGGCTCTTTGTCTTTGTCTTTCTGGTGAGAGCAGGTGCCCTCTAGCAAAAAAAAAGCCTCTCCAAAAAAAAAAAAAAGAGTCTAAATCTTAGATACCTTGGCTTCTACCTTTGTGTCAAAATGAGGGTTTAGGGTTCGATTGACTCTCGGGAAGAATCATCCCAGGGTCACAAAATCGTAAGTAAAATTCACAAATTCAGCACTAGCAGATGGTGTAGCGGTTACGTTGCTGGACTCCCACGTGGCTGACCACAGTTCGAGTCCAGAGCTGGTAGCTTGAAAATCACAGTGGGTATGTGTGCATGCATGCCCAAGATCCTGGGAGGAGAAAGGATCGCATCATGACCATACTCCTGGGGGGGTGATTTCTCACTTTTCCTCTCTCCCTCTCCCTGTATCTCTCTGTCTCTCTCTCTCTGGGGAGTGCCTGCACCCTAAGGCGAAAAAAAAAAAAAAACTCTAAAAAAATTTTTTTCACAAACTCATCAATATTATTGACTATCATAATATCACCACACATTATCAAATCTGAAATGTAAAAATAAATACTCTTAGAATATTATGTTTATGATAAATAAAACACAGTAATCCCTTTGAAAGGTCATAAAAGGAACTATGGGGGTCAGCAGGTGGCATGGTGTTTAAGGTGTTGGACTCCCACATAGCCAACTATGGTTCAAGTCCCAGACCTGGTGGCTTGAGAATCATGACAGGTCCTTGTGCATGCATGCTCGAAATCCTGAGAAGAAAATGGAAGAGAAGGGATTGCAGCGTGACCATCCCCCTAGGGGTGATTTCTTACTTTCTCACTCCCTGTTTCTCTCTTTCTTCCTCTCTGGCACACACCCTATGGGAAAAACCTAAAAAAAAGAGGAACAGTAGCTATTTTGGGCTTTTCATATAAGTTTTGGCATATCTGAAGTTTAGGGGAGTATTTTAATTCTTGCCAGAGTATGTTTTGGAGGAAGTGATGTTTAATAACTTAGGTAGATGACACTAAGTACCTGAATTTGGAATATTTCTTACCTTTGAAGTTATATCTAGCTATTGAATGTGAGTAATAACTACATTTGATTATGTTTATATTTTGAACCCAGAATCCATGGGGTATGCTGAAATGTCTAAGGTAAATTTTAAGGAAGAGATGAACAAGTGACTCTAAAACATTCCATTTACAGCGTTAAGAACATTCCAAAATCAGTAAAGGCTTGGGACCAGCAGTTAGCGTAAGGACTGTGTCGCTGGATTCCCACATAGTCGACCTCGGTTCACGTACTGGACCCCAGTGGCTTGAAACTCACGCCGGGTGCGTGTGCGTGTGTGCCCAAGATCCCGAGAGGAGAATGGAGGAGAAGGGATTGCAGCGTGGCCATCTCCCCTGGGGGATGATTTCTTGCTTTCTGTCTCTATGTCTCTCTCTCTGTCTGGCAAGCGCACGCGCCCTATGGCAAAAAAAAAAAAAAAAAAAACCTTCAAAATCAGTAAAGACTTTATGTTAAATGTACGTGTGTTTAATGATATCTGTAAATGTGAAGAGCTGATGCTTTCAGACATTTTTATAATAAGTTGAAATAAAGAATAGTATTTCTTATTGTAGTTTATTATCCCAAGTTTATTATCTGCACTTACATCCATGTTGGTACCCATGTTGGTATTTGAATATTTTTCAAAACATAAACTCTAAAGTTTTATTATAAACATTGTACCCCAAAATTACCTTTATTCTTTTTTGATTCTGTAATGTGAGATAATTACTTGTTGCTTTAAACCTGTAAGTTGTGGAGTCTGTTTAATTTTGTTCAATTATGTATGAAAATGGTTATAACAACATGTCATGTTCTCATGAGAATATGTAGTACATTATTTTGTTTTTCTTTGGTTCTAGGAAAATCTTCCTGTTACAGAAGATAACTTTGTAAAAGTTCAAGTTAAAGCGTGTGCACTGAGCCAGATAAATACAAAGGTATTGGTGAATTTCTTATGGTCTAAATGAAATGAGTGTTTCATAATATGTTTAATGTACAAATGAAATGATAAATGACTTCTGAATGCCAAGAAATTGCCATCATCTTTAGGAGACTAGAAGCTAAGGAAAAATTATAATGTACATTTGTGTATTTCTGTGTTAAGATAAATTTTTATTGAATTCACGTATTTGATATCAATGTACGAAAATATTCTATAAACTCCTTTACATTGCAAAAAGCTGTGAGCTTATATTTACTAAGGCTGATAAACAAGGAAGAAATCCTTTTTTTTTTTTTAGAGGTTTTTCACTATAGGGCACGTGTGCTCACCAGACAGACAGAGAGACAGAAAGCGAGAAATCACCCCCCAGAGGAGATGGCCATGCTGCAATCCCTTCTCCTCCAGTCTCCTCTCAGGATCTTGGGCACGCATGCACACGCGCCCAGCATGGGTTTCAAGCCACCAGATCCGGGACGCGAACCACGGTCGACTATGTGGGAGTCCAGTGAGATAGCCATTACGCTAACTGCTGGTTCTCAGAAGAAATCCTTTTTTAAAATTTGCTGTAGGGTGCATATACTCACTAAAGAAACGAAGAAAGGGAGAAAGCACCTCCCACTGAGGCTTGATCACGCTGCGATTCCTTCTCGTCCATTTCTCCATCCTGTCAGGACTTGGGGTGTGCTCGCATGTGCGTGCACACACACATACACACACACCCTTGGCATATTTTTCAAGCTGCCAGGGCTAGGTTGTGAACTTCATGGTTGGCCATGTGGGATCAGATTCTCATAACCTTCAGGCCATAGGCCAGTCTTGAAGAAATTATCTTGATAAATAAAATAAAAATAGAAACTAGAAACCAAATCAGTTCATTTGTTAAGCACCTGTTCTATAGATACTTCTAGTTAAAGGGTTTATTCATTTATTTTTAAAGGTTGTTTATTTCTTCCATAAGTAAGACAGTGACAGCACCTCCAAAAGCGTCTTAGCAATAGCTGATATCTTTAGATATGGTTTATACTCTTCTTGTTATCATTTCTCTTTGTCTCCTGCAAATGTACATGCCCAACTTCATGCCACCCCACAGTTCTCTTTCATTATTGATCATAGAACACATGGAAAGTCTTCAAGTAGATAATGTAAACTATAGTTAAATGTGCAGTGATAAACAGAGCCAGTCCCTTTACTCAGTTTTATTATTATTATTATTCGTTATTTATTATGCCAGAGCCTATGCACGAGAGAAAGTACTAGTACTTTCTGCAGACTTCTGTATTCAAAAATTGTCCTTTTTAAAAAAACATGAAAAATGAACAAACAGGTGGGGTGGTGGTTAAGGCGCTGGACTCAACACATAGTCAACCGCATATTTTTTTTTAAGAATTATTTTTATTTAACTATATTATTTGTTTTTAATTTGATCAGTGAAGGACAGAGCTAGAGCAAGACAGAGAGAGAGAGAAAGTGAGAAAGCAAGCCACCAGGTCCAAGACTCGAACCTTAGTCAGCCATGTGGGAGCCTACCATCCTTAACCACCATGCCACGTGGGGTTTTTCACTGGGCTCCCACGTAGTCTACCACAGTTCAAGTCCCAGACCCAGCAGCTTAAAACTTACGCTGGATGCGTGTGCATGCATGCCCAGAATCCCAAGACAAGACTGGAGGAGAAGGGATTGTGATGTGACCATTCCACCTGGGAGGTGATTTTTTGCTTTCTGTCTCTCTCTGTGTTTCTGCAAGCTTATGCACCCTATAGCAAAAATCTTTAGCTAAAAAAAAAAAAAAAAAAGTTCAGTTACTGTGAAATCTGAAGTCATATAACAGTTTCTATATAAAAACTCATCACTTCTTCCCACCTGCTGTCTAACCCAAACTTGTGAGAAAAAACTCAGGTGTTTTTAAAGGGTATGCAAGTAGAGAACCTGTCATTCTCATTGGCAGTTTCTCTCTTATTCAACAATGTCCTCTCCAAATCACCTTTCTGCATACCACCTAAATAATATGACTGATAAACAGCCAACCAAGAATTGTTTTGGCCATAATTTCACTTTACACCTTACACAGTAAAGGTGTTTTTAAAAGAGTGTTGAAGGAGTCAGCAGGTGACATGGTGGTTAAGGCATAGGACTCCAACATGGCAGTTTGAATCCCAGACCTGGCTGCTTCAAAACCATGTTGGGTATGTGTGCATGCATGCCCAAAATCCCAAGAGGAAAATGGAGAAGGAATTTTTGGCATGATTATCCACCCTAGGAGTTGATTTCTCATTTTCCTTCTCTCTGTCTCTCTGTCTCTACCCTCTGGCAAAAACCTTCAAAAAAAAAATTTTTTTTTAAAAGGATGTTGACATCTCCATAGCATAGTGATTAAGGTAGCCAGATCCCACATGGTCAGCTAAGTTAGAATTGTAGCCACTGCAGCTAGAAAAACACATTGGGCACATGTACATGCATGCCCCAAATCCCAATAGGATAGAGAAATGGAGAAGGGATTTCTTTTCTTTTTTTTAAATTAATATTTCTTTAAATTTATTTGTTTGTTTGTTTATTTATTTTTAACTTGCTAGAGGGCACGTGTACTCACCAGAGGGAGACAGAGTGAGAGAGAGAGAAAGTGAGAAAGCAAGCCATGGCATTTGAACTGTGGTTGGCCATGTGGGAATCCAGCACCTTAACCACCACACCACCTGCTGGCCCTGGAGAAGGGATTTCTATATGACCACTTCCCATTGGGGGAGGGAGGAGATGCTTTCTCCCTCACCCTTCCTCTCTGTCTGTCTGTCTCTAGTGAGTGCTCTCTGGCCAGAAAAAAAAAGTATGTTAGTGATGGTTTAAATCCTACTACTCAACGCCTTAGTCCCATATATCAACTAATTTCTCAGCCAACTTTTGGTTTCCTACCTTATTCAGAAACCTATTTTGGGGAACAGCTAGGTGGTGTGATCGTTAAGGTGCTGGATACTTACACGTGGCTGACCATGGTTCGAGTCCTGGACCTAGTGGCTTGCTTGCGCTCTCTCTCTCTCTCTCTCTCTCTCTCTCTCTGGTCAAATTAAAAAATAAATGAATGAAAAAACAAAATTAATAATAAAAAAGAAACCTATTTTGTGAAGTATTTGATTTGTCTTAATTCCAAAAAGTTTATACTATTTGCTCTTCCCATGGTTTGATTTTTGTTCTTGCTTTACACGTATATTAGAGTCCAGGATTTATTCTTGACAGTAGTGTATTAACAGCCTGTGTCATGATTTAGCTTCTGGCAGAAATGAAGATGGAGAAGGACTTCTTCCCTGCTGGAAGAGAAATTGCTGGAATTGTTTTAGATGGTAAGTTTACAAATGTATAACCATGTTTATTTTCTAAGGAAAGAGAATTAAATGATAGCTAATTGTTACCCCAGTACATAAAATTATACACAGGCTTTCAAATATTTAATTATACAAAAGTACTTCTTTTTAAATAGAAGAATAGAATTTAGTTGGTATTTCATAATTACAGGAAAAAAAGCTTATTACAGACTAGTAAATATGTCGAGATTATATAATTAAACCCATGAATAATCATACATCAAACAGAATGACCAGTATTTTCCTTTTTAATAATGTTTACAAGCCAGCATAAACTTTAGGCCCAAATTTATATAATAGTCAATGACTACATTACACCAAAAATATTTTTTTAAGTATTATTGGGACCAGTTAGTGTAATGGCTATGTCACTGAACTCCCATGTAACCAACCACAGTTTGAGTCCCAGACCTGGTGGCGTAAACTCACACCAGCGTGTGTGCAGGCATGCCCAAGATCCCAAGAGGAGAATGGAGGAGAAGGGATTGTGGTGTGGCCATCCCCCTTGGGGGGTGATTTCTCACTTTCTGTCTCTCTGTCTCTCTCTGTCTTTCTGGCGAGCGCACGTGCCTCCTCTAAAAAAAAAAAAAAAAAAAAAGAATTATTTATTTAGGGGCTGGCAGGTGACATGGTGGTTAAAGTGGCCAGACTTCCACATGGCTGACCAAAGTTCAAGTCCCATACCTGGCAGGTTGCTTTCTCACTTTCCTTCTTTCTGTCTCTCTCCGGTCAATTTCAAAAAAGTAAAATAAAATATAAAATAATGATGAAGAATAAAATTAAATAATTCTTTAAAGAAAGAATTATTATTACTATTTTAATTTGCTATAGAGCATGTACATTTACCATGTACGTGAAAGACATAGAAAGAGAAAATGAGAAAGTAAGCTGCCAGATCTGAGACTCGAACCATGGTTGGCCATGTGGGAGTCTGATACCTTAATCATCATGCCACATATTGCCTCCCACATCAGAGAAAAAGCCTCTACCATAGGTCAATGCATTTGAACATTTTGTTCAGAATTACAAGAGGAAATAAGAGAAAAAAAATCCAAAACACAGTTGAATGCCTACTTCAACTCAGCATTTTACCGTGTTCACACACTGAATCTTGACACTATAGCCATGAAGTAGGTATTATTATTCTGATATAACAGACGAGGAAACTGAGGTGAAGCAAGGAAGTAAGATAGAGGCAGGAAATTTGGAAATGGCCCATTTGGCTGGCTCTGTCAGCAGAATGGTTCCAGACCTCATTTGTCGGAACTGAAGCAGTAATTCCAAATATGCTGTTTCTGTTTTGAAGGCCTCCTCTAGCACTGTGTTTCTCTATTGGACACCTCCTGTGTCATCATCCCCTGAGACTTGGTTTTTGTACTTTTCTTTTTCCACCTGCAGTTGATGCATGCCCTGGGATTACTGACCACCCCCTCCCCCCTTTTTTTGAGGGGAAAGGGCTTCCTTCACAAAGAAAACAGTGTGGGGACCAGCAGATGGCGTAATGGCTATGTTGCTGGACTCCCATGGAGTTGACTGAGGTTTGAGTCCTGAACCTGGTGGCTTAAACTCACACTGGGTGCATGTGCATGTGTGCCCAAGATCCTGAGAGGAGAATAGAGGAGAAGGGATTGCAGCGTGGCCATCCCCCCTGGGGAGTGATTTCTCACTTTCTGTCTTTCTATCTTTCTCTGTCTTTCTGGTGAGCGCACGCACCCTATAGCAAAAACCTCTAAAAAAAAAAAACAGTGTGGCATTCCTAGTGGTTATATGTTTACATCTTCCCTTCGTTTCTACTCTTTACCTGGCTAAGCTCATCAGCTCTATTTCACATAAAACCTACAGGCTGACAGCTCTGAAATATATATATTTCTAACATAGATCTCTCACCCTTGAGCTTCAACTCATGTAACTTTTTACCAGATATCACCAGTGAGATGTCACTTTAAGTATCTTTCTTTTTTTCTTTTTTTTGGGGGGAGGTTTTTTCTATAGGGCACCTGCGCTCGCCAGACAGACAGAGAGAGACAGAGAGACAGAAAGCGAGAAATCACCCCCCAGGGGGGATGGCCACGCCACAGTCCCTTCTCCTCCATTCTCCTCTCGGGATCTTGGGCACGCACGCAACGCGCCCAGCATGAGTTTTAAGCCACCGGGTCCGGGACTTGAACCGCGGTCGACTATGTGGGAGTCCAGCAACATAGCCATTATGCCAACTGCTGGTCCCTCACTTTAAATATCTTAACAAGTATAAATCTGGAATTAAAGTAGTGTTTATTTAAAAACTATAAAAAATTAAAAACTATAAAAGCCAGGCATAGTTTTTCATAATACTAACATTTTCCATTAACTTTTCAAAGACCCCTTCATGTTTCTACATCGTTTCAACAACCACATGACCTATTTTTAGAGAATCTAGATTTCTAATGTTCTATCACACAGTCCTTATTGTCTATCAGAATGTCTTAGACGTTTGCCTCTTTGTGAAATTAGTGATTTTTTTATAAATCCATTAATCTTTTGATTTATTTTAATAGTTAAATAAATATATTTAATAACCTTGTAATATTAACTATTTTCTCCATTTTTTAGTTGGAAGCAAAGTATCATTCTTTCAACCAGATGATGAAGTAGTTGGTAAGTTATTAATTGATAGTCCTATTTCAAGTCATCTGTTTTACTTATTTTTTTCTCTTTTCTATGTAATTATTAACCATTATGACCTAATTATGAATCATTATGACCTTCAAATAGGGATACCTTTTTGATTTTTGGAATTGGCACTCAAATAGCCATTTATGGAAAAAAATGGGAATTTGATCCCAATTAGCAGACTTTTCTTTCTTTTAGATTTCTGCCATAGGGCACATGCACTTGCCAGAGAGACACAGAAGAGAGAGAAAGTGAGAGATCACCCCCAAGGGAAACAGCCACATTGCACTCCCTTGTCCTCCAGTCTCCTCTCAGGATTTTAGGCACGCATGCACACACACCCAGCATGATTGTCAAACCATTAGGTCCAGGACTTAAACCATGGCCAGCCATGCGGAAATCCAGTGCCTTAACCACCATATTCCTGGTGGTCCCTAGCAGAACATTTTTAGCTTGTCAGTATTTGGCTATTGATTTTATAAATAGAAAGATAACCATAGTTGCTCTCTGCTTGTGGCAGCCCTTTCCTCGCAGGTCTCTAGCTGTGGCCAGATTGAAATCTAGTAAAAAGGAAAGTCACAGGTAATGCTTCAAGAAGAATACTCAGTGGGCCATATATAAGGCTACTTCAAAATGTTCATGAAAAGTAAAATTGAAGTATGAGTTTATTTTTGTGCAAAATATCTTTTTAAAGAATTATTTGATTTCATTTATTCATTCATTTATTTTAATTTGACCAGAGAAAGAGAGGGAAAGTGAGAAAGCAAGCCACCAGGTCCGGCACTCGAACCATGGTCAGCCATTGTGGGAGTGTTCCACACCTTAACCATCATGCCATCTGCTGGTCCTCCAAAATGTCTTTTAAATCCTGGCATAGTTTTTTCATAATACTCATTTTTCATGATTTTTTTTTGGGGGGGGGGTTTGCTATAGGGCATGTGTACTCACCAGAGAGACAGAAAGCAAGAAATCACCCCCCAGGAGGATGGCCATGCCGCAGTCCGTTCTCCTCCATTCTCCTCTTGGGATCTTGGGCATGCACGCACACACGCCCATCGTGAGTTTAAGCCACTGGATCCGGGACTCAAACTACGGTCGACTATATGGGAGTCTAACGACATAGCTATTATGCCAATTGCTGGTCCCTCACGAATTTTTTTTAAAGACTCCCCATAGACAATCCATTCTCCACTTCAACTTGAATTGCACAGAGCTTCTCCTTCCTACTCTGAAAACACTAAATATTGACTTGAAACATTTATTTTATTGAATCCTTTTAAAAATCCATAATTAGAGGACAAGCAGATGGACTTCCACATGGCTGACCGTGGTTCTAGTCCTCGACCCAGAGGATTGGATGTGTGTGCACGCATACCCCAAATCCCTAGAGTAGAAGGGATTGTGGTGTGGTCATCCCCCTTGGGAGGTGATCTCTCAATTTTTGTCTCTCTGTCCAGCGAGCACACATGCCCTATAGCAAAAATCTGTCTTAAAAAAAAATCCATAATTAGTACTATTTCTGCTGATATATATAGAAGACCTCAAAATAGTCAAGAAAAAAGAAATTAAAGTATGAATCTATTTGGTGTAAAAAAATGTTTGAAGCTATGAATAATTTAATAATATAATACACATTTTTCATGAACATGTTAAAGACCCCATGTATTTATACTTATATCCTAGATAATCATACAAATATATCTTTTATTTATTTTTTGTTTGTGTGATTTCTGGTTTACATATAATCATTATACATCCGTGGGACACAGTATGGCTTTCAAAGCATGCATACAGTATCTAATAACCAAATCAAGGATATAAACATACTCATCTTATTTGACATTGAATATTACAATATGTGTTACACATGTGATAATATAATCTGTGTTGTTTTTTCTTTTTTCTAAGGCATGTATTACTGAATTGTCAATGACATTTTTCACTCTGCCGTGGTAATTTATAACCTCTTAGTGTACGACTTTCATGGTAGTCTTTGAAATTCCAGTTTCTCTGTGGAAAACATTCATATAGAGAAAGTGTTTATTCTCATTGAATATATTTGTAGAAAAGTTTTTATCAGCTTTTTACACTATTACCTTTTATTCAAGTATTTTCTTTGAGATTTGTTGTCTTACTTATCTTTTATAATTTTTTGTTCAAGAAGTCAGTGACATACTGTATTACTGAAGGTTCTTTTTGCAGTAGACCAAAAATGACTAACAGGCCAGCAGATGGCATGGTGGTTAAGACACTGAATCCCACATGGCCAGCCACAGTTCTACTTCCAGACTTGGTGGCTTATTTTCTCACTCTCTCTCTCTCTTTCTCTCTTTCTCTCTCTCTCTCTCTCTCTGGTGAGTGCAAGTACCCTATAGCAAAATAAATAATAATAATAATGATAAATAAAAAATCATTCTTTTTAAAAAATTACTAGCTTGGGGGAAATAGGATTTTATTGGAAGTATGCAAAGGTATCTTATGGAACCAGACTTTGGAACGGTAACTGTGCATCAAGGACAACTTCAGTGAGGAGTCCAGGTATCCCAAGACTCTGACTTACCTTTATAACATCAACAATCATCTTTGCCATCACTCAGAAGTAAAAGAAAGGAGAGAAAAAGAAACAGATTGCCTGGTTGGCAGAGCCTATGCCAGATAATGAATGGTTTGCCTCCTTTCCATGTTTGTGAAGTCTCTCCCTTCCCCGCACTGGGAACCTGCCTCAAAATTAAACTGAACTGGGGGACCAGCAGTTGGCATAATGGCTATGTCACTAGACTCCCATGAGTTGACCGCAATTTGAGTCCTGGACCCGGTGGCTTAAACTCATACCAAGTGTGTCTGTGTGTATGTCCAAGATTCCAAGAGGAGAATGGAGGAGAAGGGATTGCAGCGTGGCCATCCCTCTGGGGGATGATTTCTCACTTTCTGTCTCTGCATCTCTCTTTGTCTCTCTGGCAAGCACCCGTGCTCTATAGCAGAAAAAAGAATTAATTAATTAATTAATTTTTAAAAAACTAAACTAAATACTTACTGATCTCTTATTAGGGATGAATTGTTTGGGGCTTATTTTCCTTACATTTTTTGTTTTAATTTTTAGGAATTTTGCCCCTGGATTCTGAAGACCCTGGACTTTGTGAAGTTGTTAGAGTACATGAGCATTACCTGGGTATGTCACTCCTTAGTTCTTTGGAGTTCACATCAGTCTTACCATGGGTGATGTTAATGACATTCTAGAGTCTTTGACTCTACCACAAGTACTGTACTTATTAAGTAACTATTTGCTGGTCACGTACATAGTAAATATCTGTTGACTGGTCATGTGAATAAATGTAGCTTATAATGAATAACCATAAAATTTATATTCAGAAATACACACACATACACACACTACACACACGCACACCTTTAAGTTTTACTAACACTGCTTATGATAAGAGCTTAAAGAAAAGTTTCTCGTGTGCTTCTAAAATTATATACGTAATCAAAATTTAAAAGTTTATTCCATTTGGTTTAAATTGAAAGAAAAAAAATGTAGAAAATCTAGAAAGTACATGTGGCATCCGAGACAGGAGAGAATCAGGAACACTCATCTTTTGTTTCTGTGGCTGATGTCTTTTGACTAGTGTTCAGTTTAACCAAAATGTTTAGATTTAATTTTTGTTATAGTCATTTATTTTTTGAATAGTTCAAGATTTACACATGCATACACATGTGCACTCTTTCTAAAACTATTATTTTTAAAATGCTGGGCCTTCTAGTGGAATGGTAGTTAAGGCAGCTGGTAGTTTATGACCAACTGTGCAGTTCAAGTTCTGGACCCAGTGGCTTGAGAAACACGTCAGGTGGGTGCACATGTGTCCCAAAATCCCAAATGGAGAAATGTGGGAGATAAAATGTGTGGAGTTAAAATCTGACCATCCTAACTGTTAGCAAAGGCATGAAATAGTGAAACCTTTTATGTGTAAATTGGTGTAAATGCGTTAGAAAATAATTTAAGGCCAGCCATGAAACCTAGTAGTTAAATGAGTCAGATTCCATATGGCCAACTGAATTCGAGTCCCGCCCTGGCAGCTTGAAAAACATGCCAGGCACATGTGCATGCATGCCCAAATCCCAACAGGATGGAGAATTGAAACAGAAGGAATTGCAACTTGACCATGTTCCATTGGAGGGTGCTTTCTCTTTGGTTTCTCTTCCTCTTTCTCTCTCTTTCTCCCCCTGGTGAACACACATGTCCTCTGGCATCTTTTTTTAATAAAAGGTAGGGGAAGAGGGACAAGCCCCATATCCTGATGTTTGAGGCCTATGTGGCTGACAGCAGAGTTCAAATCCTGGCCCCAGTAGCTTGAGAAACATGCCAGATATGTGTACATAGCCTTGACAGGATGGCGATATGGAGGGGAGGGGATTGCGTCTTGACCATGCCCCATTGGGGGATACTTTTTCTTTCTTTTTTTAATTTTTTAAATTTTTTTTTTTTTTGGAGAGATTTTCGCTATAGGGCGTGTGCGCTCGCCAGACAGACAGAGAGAGACAGAGAGACAGAAAGCGAGAAATCACCCCCCGGGGGGATGGTCACGCCGCAATCCCTTCTCCTCCATTCTTCTCTCGGGATCTTGGGCACGCACGCACACGCGTCCGGCGTGAGTTTTAAGCCACCGGGTCTGGGACTCAAACCGAGGTCGACTATATGGGAGTCCAGTGACAGCCATTACGCTAACTGCTGGTTCCCAAATTTTTTGCTAGAGGGTACAGCTAGTCACCAGAGAAAAAGAGAGAGACAGAAAATGAGAAATCACCCCTTGGGAGGTATAAGGCCATGTGTAGTCCCTTCCTTCTTCTGCATTCTCTTATCACAATCTAGGGCATTCACACAAACCTGCTTGGTGCGTTTTTCAATCCGCCAGGTGCAGGACTCAAACCACGTAGTAAGTCTTGTGGGATTCAGCCACCTTAACCTCTACACCTCCTGCTGGCCTAGGGAATATTTTTTCCTTTCTGTCTCTCTTTGGTGAGTGTCCATGCCTCTGGCAAATTTTAAAAAATAAATAAAATGAAAATAATTTAGTGTGGGACCAGCAGTAAGGGTAATGGCTATGTCGCTGGACTCCCATGTAGTCGACCGTGGTTCGCGTCCCAGACCTGGTGGCTTAAAACTCACGCCAGGTGCGTGTGCATGCATGCCCAAGATCCCAAGAGAAGAATGGAGGAGAAGGGATTGCAGCGTGGCCATCCCCCCTGGGGGGTGATTTCTCGCTTTCTGTATCTCTGTCTGTCTCTGTCTGGTGAGCACACGTGCCCTATAGCAAAAACCTCTCCAAAGAAAAAAATAATAATAATAATAATTTAGTGTCACCTTTTATAGGTAATGACATATATACTGTAGACCTAGTAATTCCACTCGTAGTTGTGTACCCTGCAGAAACTTGATGTGCACTAGGAGCTATGTCCAGGAGTTCACAGCAGCATAATTAGTAATAGAAATATCAGACAATAGGGATCAGAAGATGGAGTAACGGTTACATTGCTGGACTCCCATGTAGTTGACCATGATTCAAGTCCCGGACGCCAGGCGCGTGTGCATGTGTGCACAAGATCCCAAGAGGAGAATGGAGGAGAAGGGATTATGATGTGGCCATCCCCCTTAGGGGGTGATTTCTTACTTTCTGTGTCTCTGTCTCTCTGGCAAGTGCACAAGCACTGTAGAAAAATCTCTCCCAAGAAAGAAAGAAAGAAGGAGAGAAAGACAGACAGACAGACCAACCGACCAGACAGCAGTCTGAATGTTCTTCAGCAGACAGGATCACTAAAGACATTCATAGAATGAATTTATACTCAGCAATGAAAATGAATAAAGAAAAAGAAAAGCCAAACCTATCAATATGGACAAATTTCAAACAGTATTGAGTGAAAAGCAAGTTATAGAAGAATACAAACAGCTAGATAAAGTTCATACAGAGTTAAACATATATTATTTTAAGGGTATAAAGAAAAGGGGAGGGTGCAAAGTTAGTTGGAGGTTACCTTTTTCAGCACGTGATCAGAGTAGATATGCGGGAACTCTGGTGGTACTGCCAATATGTTGATATATTTCTTATACTATTCCGACCTACAGATATGCTATGTCAGAATTAATTGTTTTGTATACTTCTATTTCATTAAAAATTTACCCAGGTTTTTTTTTTTTTTAAGAAAATAATGTAATTACTAATTAGCCCTTTTGGTGACAGGCCAATTTGGATTTTTGGATTACCAAGACTAGGAAACTTAATTGGTTGGTTCATACAGTAACTTGAACAAGGCTAATAAATCTTTGGCATTTCAAAAAAATTGTAAGTTTACATTTAAATCGATGATATTTACTGTGTCTAAAGTTTCAAAGTACTAACTATTGTTATTTTGCTAAAAATAAATTTTCTTTTTTTTTCCTCATTAAACTTTGTTTTAATGGGTCTCAAAATTCTGTGACGGATTTTTGGTCAAGTTGTTTCCATTAAAAAGTACTGATTTTAAAAGCTAGTAACTTAAAACTGTCACACACACAAAAATGAAATGATCCACAAAACATTTTCCTTTCCTTCTGAAGGTTTTACGATGTTTTGTTATCATTAACCAGTCTTTTACTATTAAACTTAAGTGGCCAATGGAGACAAACAGTTCCAAGACTGTTCTTCCACCACTGATTAAGACTAGGGTGGCAGGAATTAGGGATATTCGTTTAGCCTTCTGAGCTTTCTGGGCAGACTCAGTGACCTTGCCAGCTCCAGCAGCCTCCTTGTCCACGGCTTTGATGACACCAACAGCAACTGTCTGTCTCATATCACGAACAGCAAAACAACCCAGAGGAGGCTAGTCAGAGAAGCTCTTAGCACACATGGGCTTGCCAGGAACCATATCAACAATGGCAGCACCACCAGATTTCCAAAATTTAGGGCCATCTTCCAGCTTTTTACCAGAATAGCAATCAGTCTTTTCCTTCAGCTCAGCAATGTGAGCGGTGACAACCCAGTACAGGGACATAGTCAGCGCTGATTTGGCCTGGATGGTTCAGGATAATCACCTGAGCAGTGAAGCCAGCTGCTTCCATTGGTGGGTCATTTTTGCTGTCACCAGCAACATTGCCACTTCGAACATCTTTGATAGACACGTTCTTGACATTGAAACCCACGTTGTCCCTGGGAAGAGCTTCACTCAGAGCTTCATGGTGCATTTCAGCTGACTTAACTTCAGTTGTCACATTGGCTGGTGCAAAGGTGACCACCATACGAGGTTTCAGCACACCAGTCTCCACTCAGCCCACAGGGACAGTGCCAATACCACCAATTTTGTACACATCCTAGAGGGGCAGACACAAGGGCTTGTCAGTTGGACGAGTTGTTGGCAGGATGCAATCAATCCAGAGCTTCAAGCCGTGTAGTTCCACCGGCATTGCCATCTTTACAGGTGACTTTCCATCCCTTGAACCATGGCATATTAGCACTTGGCTCCAACATGTTGTCACCACTCCAACCAGAAACTAGCACAAATGCTACTGTGTTGGGATTGTAGCCAAATTTTTAATGTAAGTGCTGACTTCTTCTTTAATAATTTCCTCATCTCTTCTGACTGTAGGGTGGCTCAGTAGAATCCATTATGTTAACACTGACAGCTGTTTCACACCCAGTGTGTAAGCCAGAAAGGCATGCTCATGGGTCTGCTTGTTCTTAGAGATACTAGCTTCAAATTCACCAACACCAGCAGCAATAATCAGGACAGCAGTCAGTCTGCGATGTGCCTATAGTCATGTTTTTAATAAAGTTTCTGTGTCCTGGGGCGTCGATACTAGTCACATAGTACTTGCTGGTCTGGTCTCAGATTTCCACAGGGAGATATCAGTGGTGATACCACGCTCACGTTCAGCTTTCAGTTTATCCAAGACCCAAGCGTATTTGAAGGAGCCCCTTCCCATCTCAGCAGCCTCCTTCTCAAATTTTTTGATGGTTCTTTTGTCAATCCCACCACATTTGTAGATCAGATGGCCAGTAGTGGTGAAATCTGAAATATGCTAAGTGTACCTAAGATCCTGAACAGCTGAAGGGCTAGACAAAGGGGATCGTGGCATCACAAGGGAACCCTGTGCAAGGTGCATCTCTCTTTCTCAAAAATACAAATTTTAAAAGGAAAGGA